GATGTTAGAGTACCCAACAGTGGAAAAGCAGTTCCTCCTCCCAGCGAGCCAGGCCTTGGCCCATGCAGGGCTGAGATGTGGTCACTTCTCTATCGCTTCAGCCTCAGACCTGGGTGTTAGTCCATTTTAAGCGACTTTGTTGTGCCACTCATCATCAGAATCCTGAGGTTTCACATACTCAGAGCAGAAACACGAGAGGCTTGTTTTCTTCTCAGAATCCCAGGCAGCCAGAATTCAGAGTACCCTGCCCTTTTCCCCACCCTTAGCATTTTGTTGCCTCCACCCCACCCACCACCCCTAAACCGCCCCTCGTTTGGCTTCTGAAACCTGAGTGCCACTTTTCTGGGAAATCCTGATATTCTGACTTCAGTTTTGTAATTTAATGATGGAGAGTTTCCTTAGTAAACCAAATTTAGAGTCCTAGAATGCTTATCTTATATCCAGACCTTGAACATAAAAGGCATTTTATAGCCGCAATTGTTCATTTAATGAGCAATTGCAGAGTGCCGCCGGTTAAGGGATTGAGCTATATGCACTATTATTGCAAGAAGTATTCCGAAATACCAGAAATAGGACGTAAGCTCTGATCAGGGAGACTGTGAGCACAATTACCTTCTTTTCAAATCCTTCTGTGACACTGCGGGAGGAAAAAGGACTTTGAAACTTGAAAGGAAAGAGCTTGCTTTCAACCTCAAAAGCTAGGAGGAAAGGGCTCTGAAATTTGCTCAGAATTCCCAATTCACCATTAGCCTGTTTCTTCCTTTAGCCTCAAGGCATTCTCCGCTTTTTGAAAAGATGTTAAGAAATTCAGTCACAATAGAGAGCCTAGTTTTGAACATGTTTCACTCGGTCCATTGAGGTCTGGGCTGCAGCCTTTGTGTGGGGTGAATTGAGCTGAGCGGCTAGCTGGTTAGAGAGGTGAATGAGGAGTCGCTGTGCAGTGGCAAATTCTGGCAAAGAAAGAAGCTCCCCCTTGCTTTATTTTACAATATGCATTCCTGTACAACTCTGCTAGTGGCAGTATGTGGACTTGAGCCCGTTCTTAAGTCAATACAGAGTGCTTGGTTTATAGCAACTCTTGTTAAGTTTGTCTTGTAATTGAAGCTGCTGTTGACCTTGCTTGGGGACCATTTGTAAAACCGTTTATTTAGCATAAACTGAAATAATAAACCTCCTTCTCTCGGGTTGATTGTGATAGGGTGACATTAGTTTGATTTAATGATTAGCCGCCTGACCCTTGTGCCGGAGAGAGCGGCTTGAATAGGGAGAGTTCACTCGGAAGCACTCAGAGAGAATGCTAATGAGCTTGTTAAATTTAGCATGGCTCCAACCACTTTTAATTCCTCTAATGGGAGCAGCTCTGCCGGGAGAGGGAGAGGAGGGTGAGAGAGGGAAGCCGAGAGCGAGCGAGAGTATTCCTAGAGGGGTCTGCATTGCTAGAGACGCCCACCATGAGAAGTTGGCAGAAAGTAGCTAGCAGAGCCTGGGGACGGAGCTGTGAGTATGCTGTTCTTTTGCAGATGTCCGGGGTCAGAGCAGGAGAGGAGCTTCAGTATGGTTTGAGGGGCGTCCTAACCCCAGGTGAATTCTAAAACCGGGGAAGGACATGCTCTCGGGCTGCTCCCGGTTCAACTGGGGGAGCGTTCCAGCCAGTGATGCAGGGCAGGATGTTCTTTTTATTTTGAAAAACTTGTCTGAGAAAGTGCTCTTCCCCTGCCCCTCCTCGGGAGCTTGTCCGAGAGTTCCTGTGCAAAGCCAGTGCTGAGCCCGGTGGCAGGCAGCACTGTGGCTCTCGCTCAGGCTTGATGGAAAACAGCCTAGGCAGCATTTGCAAGGAAAGTGACTTCTCAGTTTTCATGGTTCAGGCAGCAACCTTTGCATGCATTTGAATGCTTGGGAAGTTGTGGATTTGGGAGCAGGACTTTTGTTAACTTCCAGTCAGTTTGTGTCTACAGAAGGAAGGAGGTGCCAGTGGGCTTATGCTGACAGTATAAAGTCATTTCCCCTGAAACTTCTTAGTGAATTGCTGTGTTTTGGTTTGATCCCTGAGCTTGCAGCTGTTAAACATAGAGAAGCACAACCCAGTCTTGTGTTTGGCCGCTCTAGCCTATTGGCAGATGCTCCAGGAGCAGTGGGCTGTTTGCTTACATTTTTGCAGCAGGCTTCTGCTCGTTGCCATGGTGGACAGTATGTTTCTGTCAATAATTTGGCCTGGCGTAGCCTGTCCTCACTGACTCTCAAACTTTATTGAACGACTCGGCTCAGTTGAACAAGATTAGACAGCTTTGGTCTTTTGGCTGGCTGAAGTGCTCGCTAGATTTATAAGAACAGGCGGGAATATTGTTGGGAAAGTTTCCCCTTCACAGTAAACGTGTGTCAAGTTTTGTAGCCGGCTGTACTCTGGAGCATGTGGCCTGTCAAGTGTTCATCTGAGTGCCCGTCACAGGCACCTTAGTACAGAATAAACTTCATACAACATTTGTCCGCTAGAATTTTGGGGGGACCGAGGGTAAGGAAGAAAAGATGTGATAGCACAGCCATTGTAAAAGTTAAGTTTCTTCACGTAAGGTTTCACATTCAGAAAGGGTTCACATGGCCATTTAACATTAGCATGGGGGTTAATTTTCTTTCTTAAGCATTTGAACTGTGTTTCATTTCTTGCTTTAATTTTAATAGTCTACAATCTGGGACGCTCTTATTAGGAAAATAATATGAAAAGTAAAAAGTCAAAAATATTAGTATTTATTAAAAATCATTACATTGAAAAGACTTCACCCCTTCCCTCTCACTGCCCTCCCCGCCCCCGCTGCCACACTCTGCCCCCATTTCCCTTCTTCACGGAGGTGGGGGGCAGGGGGCTCTGGGCAGATCTTGCAGCTATTTAGTTATTTACAAAGTTGGATTCAAACCTCAGCATAGTTTCTAAGAACTATTACAGGGATAATTTTTTTTAAGAGAAAAAAAGTTAATTTTTTTTCTAGGAAGATTAAGTCCAAGGAATCCTGTTTTAGCCCTGATCAGATTAGTGAAGCCTGGTTATTCCTCTGGTTATTCCTCTTTCCCCCAGCAAGCTAATGATGTGTCCAGCCCCTTGGTGAGGGCTCTGGTTTTCTAAATGAAGATCCATTCTACAGAATTTACACCTCAGTGCTGAAGGTCACTTCAGGTTGAAGTTTGAAATAAAGGCTTTATACAGAGTGCAAATTAGTGGAAAATATGATTGAGACATTTGTAGGTTATAGGAATTTTTATAAAGTTGACTTTTAGTTTTAGTGCTTTTGATATGGTTTTGCTTTTGCATAAAGCAAACCCTTGCATAGCTCTTATTCTTATAGCCTGTGACTTTACTGCCAATGAAGTCGTGACTGAAAGTATTTGTCAAAAGGGAAAATTAAAATGTAAGATTTTTTTATAGTTTGTTTTTAAATTACTGAAAGCATGGTTTCAATTGCTTCTATAAAAATCAATGTGGGAAAAGGAGATTGCACAATTTTTATTAGTCACTTGATAGATTAAATTTAGAATTTAACTGATAATTACAACATTTTGAGTGAGAATAATGTACAGAACAGTATGAAAATAGTGTTTCACAACTGCCCTGTGCTAGTCAGCAAGTTTACTGCAAAGACCAAAACATACCTCATCATCTGTTCTATTTTTACAAATTATTTGCCAGGTGAAAAAAATATCATGGCTTATTCCTTCAAATCTCAGACATAGGGTGAAAAACCAAAGTTGCTACTGGCTTTAAGTAGTTCAAGTCATCAGTCACAGCAAAGAAGTTGTTGACATAGTTTGTGTTTTTACACATGTCTGAGGAGATGCATATACTTTCTTTTGAATTGGCATGAGGAGCTGTGATATTGCTAAAAAATACATATTTTCCGTTTTTAAGTGACTCTCAGCCAGATATATTTGCTGTATGGAATGCTTAAAAGATGAGTTTGTGTATTGTGATGTGTTCAGAATCCATCTAACATGCAGCAGTGTATTAAGTACATACACAGTTGCTGACGGGAAGAAGCTTTGGGAGAGATGCTGGTCTGGGCATTGGCAGAGACAGCTCCCGGCACTGCCTCGCGAGCTTGTTTGGAAGAGCATAGTTTCGAGTGTGTGTGATTCCAGCAGATACTGGGTCACTTCTTGTAGATTCAGATCTACACTTTGTTAATTTTTTTTCAGTTCTTGGATCTATTACTGGAAGGTCATCCAATCATATCTGCAGAAAATGGTGGTAGCTAAATGGAAAGTTCTAGAAGAAGAGACTGGAGTGTTGGAACTGGGTCAGGAATTTTGTCACACTGTTTTTGATGCACAGGACTATCTGGCCCCTGTGCTAACTGTCTTGATGCCTCTTCACACGTAGAGCCCTCTCCTCAGGCCACCAGCCTTGCTCTGCTCAGGCCCACTCACGAGGCCTGTCCGGAAGGCTGCAGGGTCCCACAGTAGGCAGTTCTATCCTTTGTAGCCAGCAGGCTTCTTGTTCCATTCCAGACTTTCTTTTAAATATCACTCAAGTTTTATATCTTAAGCTAAAAAAACAGAAGGCATGTTGGGATCCCTTTCTCTCAGGACATCCTCTGATGAGACAGGTATCCTGGAGCCCCACCAGAATGTGTCTAAGTGTGCGAAGTTCCCTGGCCGCAGGCTCAGCTTCCTGTGGGAGACCAGGGGACACTGAAATCATGTGACCTTTGACTGGTACATCTCAGAGTGGACATGGACCCCAGCGGGATGTTGGCAAGACTGGCTGCAGAGCCTCTTGGGATGTTCAGGCTTCAGTACAACAGGCTCGTCCTGACAACCCCCAGTTGTTGGATTTATGTTTTGGACCCTTGTTTCTGAAAGACAGTTTTGACTTGAGACTCTCTCACTATGATGTAGCTTTTGAAGTCGCCAAACTTAAGGAGAGCTTCTTTTGGGAAGAGGCTTATGTGGAGGACACAGTTAATGACTGTTCACCTTTTTAGTGATTAACACCTTTCTCATTCTTCCTTCAGAGGATGAAAGTCCTGGGCAGACCTACCACAGAGAGAGAAGGAACGCAGTCACCATGCAGCCACAAAGTGTTCCAGGGCTCAGCAAGATCAGCGAGGAGCCTTCAACATCTAGTGATGAGCGGGCCTCATTGATCAAGAAGGAGATCCATGGGTCCCTGCCACATCTGGCAGAGCCGGCCCTACCATACAGAGGGGCGGTCTTCACCATGGACCCCAGGAACGGTTACATGGAGCCCCACTACCGTGAGTGGTTCTCAATTCTCTCTGCAGGAGCCAGAGCAAGGGTGTGTGTGTGTGTGTGTGTGTGTGTGTGTGTGTGTGTGTGTGTTGGGGATTAGGGACAGTGCACATGTGCCTTATTGTCTCAATGCATGCAAATGTTTAATTTACTTTCTGCTTTCCTTGTTGCTCTTCCTATGTCTTGTCCATTCTTCCTGTAGGAAATCCATTTCTTTACACTTTGAAGCAGATTGAGGCCTCCAGGAAGGTGTCCATCTGTGACTAATCCATGTGGATCTCCCCTGAGACTAGACCCAGACTTGCCCCTCGACAAATAGGAGTAGGAGGAAAACTGGATAATGGGGGAAGTTATTAAGTGGGCTCAATTAGCAGGAGTCTTTAACTACTCTCATTTTAAATGATTTTTCCCCCTTAATTGTGAAGGAGAACAAACTTCTCTTAACCGTCACACCCTCAGTCCGGAGGGTTCTCCTTTCTTTAACCAGCAGGCTTAAAGCAACAGCAGTTCCTTTCTCAGCACTAATCAAATTTCAGAAACGATTTCAGATGTTGAAAAACAAATAAATTATGGCATTCTCTAAAGACAGAATCTAAATAAAAATATATAAGGTTGGCTTACTTACAGCCTGGTTCTAGTTTAAAATAGTAATTTGATTGTTTAGTAATGAAGTTCATTTCGAGGTGCCAAACCTTGTAGCTCTTGATTACAGATTTATCACCTGGCCAGGATATAGACTTGCCATTTCACCCTCCCGGTTCCAATTCCAGATGAGCCACTGAACTTCAGAGAGAAGGACTGGTTTGTATTTCCCTTTTGCCACGCCATTCAGAAATGTTATTTTTTTTTTAAGGCAAAAGGCTATTAGCCAGATGACTGATTGGTGAGGATAGCTGATCAGTGCATACTTTCTTCACCCAAGAAAGTCTCCAGGATAAAAGCTCCTTTCGTCTCTTCATTAGGTTCTTTGCAGCAGAGGAGAACGTTCCCTCATCAGGGTTCAGATCAAAGAGCCTGAACACCTTAAGGTCTAGGAACTGCTCCCCCCACCTCCGACCAGCCAGGATTGTTGGTAAAGGTGGAAGTTAACTTTATTTTTAAGTGGACAGAGAATCTCTAAAAGTTGTCAAGAACTTGGAAGTAAAAGTTTCAGGATTCTTCTAAACCTTCACAAAAGGTCTATGGCTTTTCTGTTTTGAGAGTGCTTTTCAGTGTACTGCAGTTTTACTCAGCTGCAGAAATAAGGAGGCTGTAGGATGTTTGTTCCTTTTCTTCTGTCATTAAAGGTTTACTTTGTTTTATTTGACTTTTCTTTTAGGAAAAAAAGTAAGTTTAAAATAGTGTTGAGTTTTTCTCTGAGGACATTCCTAAGTACTTTTATTTATAAATCTCTATCCAGGAAGAAAATGTGAGTGATTTCTACATACCACCCGCCTATATTAATATTCCCTGAGTATGTTTATTTCTTAAAAACTTCAGGTTTATGTGATTAGCTATAGTCTCATTGCTTTCTTTTTGTCCTTATGTATGAATGAAAACTTTGCATTTCCAAGGTATGCTTTATCTTTTATTGCACATGCCCAGTAATTAGTTGAATTTATCATTGGTCAGGACAGCAGACAGATGCTTCTCCCCTGGCCAGTGGACTTGGCCAGCTGATCATGACCCTTTGCTCCCCACCAAGCCTGCAGTGGCCCATTTGTTGTGAGGGCTGCACCTTGGATGCTGTCTTAGCCAGGCCACAGGGTCTCTCTGTGTACCTTGGACCTGTTTCACTGCTCAGGGCTCTGTGGAATATTCTGTAGCACAAGGACTTTCATTATCACTTTTTTTAATGGACATGCAATGCTGGGCTGACCACTCTGCAGTGTTTCACGTTGTGTTACTCAGATAGCTGTTAGAACTGACAGTCATCTTTATGCTCTGTAAGCAATCTTGTAACCAAAGAGCAAATGCTATTTTGTCACCCATCCCAATCTTGTTCTTGAATTGGTCATACATTATGACATTCCTACATAATATATGATTACTACATAATGAGGTCAGGGAACCCTGGGGATTATACAGGTTGACTCAAAACTAGATACTGGCTAAGTGAATAACTGTGTAATGTGCTTTGTCAATGTGGCAAGTTGGGGAAAGGCATGAGGAAAGGGGAGAGGATATGGGGACACTAGGGGAGGCAAGTTGACACTGGTAGTTTGATTGATTTTGAAATATATGCCTAAAACTCAACTATCAATAATGTTGTAAATCATGGTTATTTATTTAAATATTGTTAAAAATAAGGACGGAATACTTTTCTAGGGACTGCAAGATAGTACAGCACTTGCTTCACACACAAGTGACCTCAGTTTGATCAAGATCCTTGGTCCGTGATATGGTCCCTTGAGCACCAACACAAGTGAGCCAGGAAGGAGGAAGCCCTGAGCACTGTCAAGGTAGCCCAAGCCTGGCCAAAGCACTGTGGTCCAGACCCCCAGGAAATTAGTTTTTTAGTGGTCCAGCGAGTACAGGGATAGGTCACTTGCCTTGCATCTACTGAGACTGGTATGATTCCCTGGCCACTGCCTCTATTCTGCTGAGTACTGCCGGGAGTTATCTCTGCCATGGAACCGGGTGTGAGCCCTAAGTGTAGATGGTATGGCTCCCACAAGCAAAGGTTGTTGAGTTGGGACAGTGATGTGCTGGTCGCTCCCTGCCGTCCATGAGAGTGATGAGACGTGTTGACAGTAAGCTTGCTCACTGGCGCTGAGTTTTCTGCCTTATGGTGAGCATCTCACAGTCACTCAGGCAGCTGCTCTCCTCTGTCTCCCTCCACTGCTTCTGCTCCTCCTGTTGGTTTCATCATCATCCTCGTCACCACGATGCTTTTTGTGCATGTGGGTGGGGTTTGCTGTAGTGTCACTGCTTCTCTTCCACTGCTCACTTGCCTCACTGAGGTCATGGTCTTCTGTGAGCAGAGGAGGGATCCAGCAAGTCATAAAGTTAGGAGAAGGGCTGGCTGGCCAGAGCTGACCTTGGTGGCCCCAGGAACATGGTTCAGCATTTTTCCATATTGTAAGTAGAAGCATCTGAAATTTTTATTTGAGACTTATGAAGTTTTAACATTTCAATCTTTGTCAGAATTCATTTTGATAACAAAATTTAACAAATACAGGGTAGGGGGATGAACAGAACATTGTTGCCTCTTTTGCAAACCACAACACCCAAAAGGAGAGAGAGAACAGAGGGAAATGTCCTGCCACAGTGCCAGGGTGGGATGGGGGGGATGGGGGGTGGGAGGGATACTGGGATCCGTGGTGGTGGGAAATGGGCACTGGTGGAGGGATGGGTATTTGATCATTGTATAATTGAAATCCAAGCACAAAATTTGTAAGTCTACAACTGTACCTCATGGTGTCTCACTAATAAAAATTTTTTTTTAAAAAAAGAAAAGAACGTTGTTATTTATTTGTGTTAGATATCTTTATTTTTGTGTGAATTTGGGCCACACCCAGCAGTGCTCATGACTAACATCTGGCTCTGCGCTCAAGGATCACTCCTGGTGGGTTTGGTGACTATACGGAGTGTCAGGGATCAAAACTGGATTGGTACAAGCAGCCTACCAGCTGTACCATCAGTTGAGTCCCATCAAGTTAAATATCTTAAGAATGTCTTAAACAGAAACCTCAAAGACAGAATAATACTTTACTTTTTCCAGAATTTTTTTTTGTAAATTTAGTTTTCAAGCAATATAGTGAACATTTTTAGGTGTTCTATAATGAAATTGGTATTACATGATTTGACTATACAGAGAGGGCTAGACAGTATTTTGATCTGAAGGCAGGGTTTGGTGTTTTTTTTTTTTTTTTTTGAGGTAGGAGATGAATGTTTGACTACTTTTCTTTGTCTTGTCTCAGTCCTGCAGCACAAATTCACTGCAGCTTGATCTTCAGTAACTCAAGGTTCAGAAACAGCATTTTCGGCTGTTTCTTTTTCCTTTGAGTTCTTGGCCAGGCTGTTGGAGAGAAAAAAGATTCCGCTAATCCAGGGTAGCTGGGTATGTGAACACTCACAGCAGTAATTCCTTCATTTTTCTGTGGTTGGAAAATGTAGACTTTCCAAGATGCTTAATTTGTGCTTCTATATATACTAACTTTAGTATTTCTAAAGTGTGGGCAGGCTTCCTGTAAGACCGGAAAAGGGAAAATCAGTTTTTTCCTTCTTCTTCTCAGAAGGACATCTGTAAAATTTTTATTGCATAAGACTTTATTATACTTGGGTATGCAATATTGCATCTTTACAAATTTCATTTAGGCAAGATTCAAAGTACTTTGGGTTTCATGAGTTTGACTAGTAAGATAGAAAAAAGGAATCCCCTAGTGAAAAGGAGTTCTTCAAACATTTACAATGTGTGGTTGACATAAATGTTTTCTGAGGGTTGTTGGGGTATATTCCCCAATCGGGTAGCTGTGTGTGGACTATATATCAAGGCGAGAGGGCACATACTCAGGCTGTGGGGCTGGGACCCACGCTGGTGCTGACAGGCCTGCTGATACAGGACCCAGGGTCACTGGCACTTTATAATTGGGGAGAGTGTGGGAAGGAAAGACTTGAGGACCAGGGCTGCTTGGATCAGAAGCAGGCTAACGCTTCCATCCCTTGCCTGGAGATCCCTCTGCACTTTCACTCTGCCCCTGCTTCTTCTGATAGAGATATCTTCAGATATCTCTAATCTCCACCGCCCCTTGCTTTTACTCCTTGTCATGTATTTATTCTTCTCTAAACTTACAAAAGCAGGTGACATAATAGTGAAAGCATTTCTGTACCGTGGCCCACACTTAACTTTATTCCCTTCCTGGTTACAGAAAACATGTGTTCTGTTGTCTTTGTCTTACTGTAAAGAGGCAAGTTTTCTAAGTGCACTGTTGGGGTGTTTATGTGGGGTTTCGTGGGCTCACTAGTCATGCCATCTAGGACCCTACTGGTTTGTTCAAGGCAGCCAGGAGATGTCTCCTTTTTG